ACTAGTAAGGCACTTGTTACTACTAGCGAGGCACTTGTTACTACTAGCGAGGCACTTGTTTTATTTATCTTTATTTGCTTCAGATTGCGTTTCTCTATTTCTTGCTTTCCTTGGCTTTCCTTCCAACCAAAAGAATAAGCTCTTTGACGTGATTAAAGCATTGGTTCTCACCGAGCCTATGGATAATGGAGGCGCGCCATCCGCGAAGCTTCCTGTCGGTTGCCAGCACATGGAGTGAGCAACATGGTCGGAGAACAATTGAAACGCGATATCTTTTTATCATGCCTAGTTTTGTTCAGACTTGAGTCTGGAACTGGTTGAATGGGCCTGCTATCCAGGTCATGAGTCGGCCCTTTCTCTGCCGGGCCAACTTTGCTGATGGACTCACAAGCATGGTCCTTTCCAACAGAAGTCAAACTATGCAAAGCTTGTTACTAGTAGCGTCCTTGCTACTAGTAGTAGTGGCCTCCAACCCAATAACGATGGCCTCCACCTAGTAGCTTCTTGTCACTAGTTGCATCCTTGCTCAAGCTGATACTCCCCGATGCAAGAAATCACTGGTCAAGCAGTCCTTTTATGCCTCAAAGCCTGCTGAACCGATTCTCCACGGCCCAACTCCAACATCGACAGGGAGATCAATGGAGGAGAGCTGCAGCAGATGCACAGAATCAGCAGCACTGAGAATGCCAGAAAAGCTCCGAAGACCTCAATGTCAAAAGCTCCTAGTAGCGATGCCCTTTGCTCCTAGTAGCGACGCCAGGAGCCCCGTTCGTAGCGTCCTTGCTCCTAGTAGCGATGCCCTTTGTTCCTAGTAGCGTCCATGCTCCTAGTAGTAAGGCCAGGAGCCCCTAGTAGCGTCCTTGCTCCTAGTAGCGATGCCCTTTGCTCCTAGTAGCATCCTCTACACCTACGACATCGTACGCAATACGAAAAATGTCATGAAAGACCTCTACGGAGGCAATGATTAATTATGCATCGGGACTTCACATGCACCGAGGGGATTGTAGGACATGACCTGCTTGGCTTCAGCTGGCTTCCATCTTACAGTTTCCAAGCTAAGCTTTTAGAGTCTAGGAACCAAATCATTAGCGCGAGCCATCCTTTGTCCTAGGTAGCACCCCGCCACCAGCACAACGCGGAGATATATTTACGCCGGCGCAGGCGCTGGACGAGAGGGTTTAGGGCAAGAGGCCACGGAGAAACCGGCCCGCAAAAGATCGTTGTTCAACCAGAGACACTACTTGCAGGTAGTACCTCAATTCCTTACTTAATTACAGTAAGTAGGCGCCTACTAAGTAGGGAGGGGGGGGAACGGGCTAAAAACAATCTTCGTGGCTTTCATCCTTCATCACGAAACCCGCCAAGCAGCCACAGCAGGCCATCGAACCCAGGAGATCTTCCCCAGGCCCTCCGAAGTTCATCAAAGTGCAGGACTTCGAGGGTTTGGGATGAAAATGGATGAAGTGCGTGTGTTGAGGACTTCTGTTTCTCATAGCACGGCATGTCAAGGAAATGGGGATTGGCTCATTCTCCAGTGGTACGCTGAAGCTGCTCATGGAGTTCTTACCGCCGAATTTGGTCCGTTGTGACCTCCCCCGTTCTCCCAGAAAAATGCTGTACGTCATCCCATCTGGCATCAAATTTGCACGTGGGCCGAGAGATACCGTGTCTGAAGCTACAGCCAACTTTCTGAGGCTCCCGTCCTGACCTACTCAAGCGGCAAACATAGTTTCAAAGACTATCTATATACAGTGATTAGGCTCCTGAAAATAGAAGACCTACTTGTTAAGGGATCCTTCGCTTGGGTCGACAACCCCACGACGGCATGCTTGCTCTCTGTGCCTGCCACGAGAGCACATCGCGACTGTAGCAGCCGTCCAGGGCAAAGGACACCTGATGGCTGGTCCTCGGCTGATTGGGCTCACGGAAGGCAGGTCATTGCCATCCACCAATACCGTAGAAGGGAGTGCGATCTGCAAAGAAGTTGCAGCATGTTTCACGTCAGACAGTCTGAGAGGTAGTGTTTTGTCGATGAATTTGTGAATCTGGTCTGAATCTCTTGGAGCTGAAAAGTAGGGCCTAATACGGTTTAGTAATTTAGGAGCAAGAAGCTACTAGGAGCAAAGGGCATCGCTACTAGGAGCAAGGACGCTACTAGGGGCTCCTGGCCCTACTACTAGGAGCAAGAACGCTACTAGGAACAAAGGACTATAGATGGAGTGAATTGGCATTCACCTGACCCACGGCCAAGAGTCCACTGGCCACTTGCCTGCGCAAGAGAACTGGAGGGCAGAGGGCAACATCCCGGACACTCTTGGAGCATATCCATGTTGGCATAAACCACCCATACCAATCATTCCGTTTTGATAATACCCATCCACCAATCCATTCTGGTGTAGTCGTCTGTCATTCAAGGTGGTGCAGGAGCCACTCTTGAAGCCACCACCTGAAGCTTATGTATCTTGACCGTCACTGATTTGATCAAACAAATGGTCATTTTAGGTGTGGACAGTCTTGTAGAAACGAAGGGTGGTGACCATCTTTAATGCGATCGACTATAACTTGGATAGTTTAGATTCCAGTCTGATAACCAATCCGGCGACAACTATGAAAACATCTTCGTGCCCCTCACCAGCCAGAACAAAGTGAAAAAGCTCCCGGAACAAGCCTGGCTTGTCGTATTGCTCTCAGACAGGTTGTCTTCACCTTACAAAAAGAGTTCCAAGCAGGAGCAGGAGATGGATCCAAATGTCTTCACCATTAAGAGAAAAACATCGATTAACAACATCTTCTGCAACAACACCTGGTGTTGTTGTCATCAAGCCATTGGTGTGCAACCAAAGCGACATGTCCGCGTATGTCTCCAAAGGTTCTACAGCGAATTCGGTCAAATCCGTTTTACTAGTAGTAACAAGAACGCTACTAGGAACAGGTGCCACGCTGGTAGTAACAGGTGCCTTACTAGTAGTAACAAGAACGCTACTAGGAAC